GATGATCTTGACGTTTGTTCGAGTTTGCCCTGTATTACATATCCAACTGTTACTCACTGGACAGCAGACCTCCATGGTTGTCGAAGACTACCGTACGGTTTGTAAACCAGTTCGGTGGCACTCAGTACTCTGCAGGACTATAGATTGTCTGTATAGCATGTGGAATTCCATAATGACTGAGTGACGCTTGTTATGCCGACGGTGACAAGTTCATTGTGGCATTTGCGGGAGACTTGGTTACCAGCCTGGCATCCATCATGCTTTGGAGGACATGTGCAGTAGCTTTCACATCATTATCAATAACATTAGAATAAGATGCCTTCATCTTTGCTGCGGACGACAGCTCTCCAAATGCTGTGAAGGGGGAAAGGTCTCCGATTCACTCCTGTTTCCAGCGACGTGCGCCGCAAACTATCTAGACTCCTAAAAAGAAACCTTCAAATTTGCTGTGAAAAGCCATGTTTTAGTTTTACTTCAAGGAACAGCTTTACTTCGGACAGTGAGCCGTATAGAGTTCCTTCACGTAGACCTGGTGCACTTATACTTGTATCATGGCAACACCACTGGTAGTGTAGGTTTTCAACCGCCCCATAAGCCTTAATAATCCGTATTTTCTCCTATTCGTTCATCAGCTTTGACTGATACATACGCCGAAGTGGCTGTTAACAGTGCGTACCTGTCAGAGCTGTGTAATGCGGCTTTTTTGGCTGGAGGATACCGCTCCATATATGGGGCGATACTTCCAAAGCACAATGTATGCATATGTTGTGCTTCGCTATCTATTACCTAGGGCTCATTTCAGGCCTGCGTTTTCAAAGCATTTTAATGCTACTTCCTAGGCGTTCCACACTGCAAATTGGTCAAGCAGTCGCTTATGAATGAATGTAGTAAGGCCGTGCGAGTGCATATGTTATGTGATTGATATTCTTTTTTCGCGCACGGCGGTAACACCCACTGAGTCGCAAACCTTGTGTTTGTAGTTAGCGTTGACGATTTTCAGCATTCCTCCATTTGTTCTGTTTGTTCGAACGCATCTGTCCACTGAACTTTAATACTCGCAGGCTGTGGAGTCCCGAATGGTTACATCGTGGATCTGTTTATTGGATTCATTCAGGAACTGGTTATGACCGATGACCCGGAGCACCAGTGGATAGAAAAAATTCGAACTTCGAGGGCGTCCAACGAAGCAAGGCAGCATCTGTTCAGTCGACTGAGTGGTAAGTAGTCTTCTCTTTTTTACCGATGTTCTCAGTCTCATTTGCTGTCAAATGTTAAAACTCACTTCTATCATCGATCTTTTATGAACGTTGAAGTTGAATGACTATGGTCCCTATTCAGCTCTGGTTCACTGAAGAAGTTCTTGGAGTTTCTTGCTTCTGTGCTCTTTATAGTAAGCAACGCGGAAGTAAACCCTGAAGCGGCAGCAACCAATACACAAGACTAAAAGCAGCTACAACCAGTATACGACAATTACGCTTGTAATGCTGATCTATACTGTATGGCGTAGGTCACCGTTTTCTCAGTGCTGTGTAACTCGAGTTGGGTTTTAAATGAAGTCCTCAAAATAACCTACTCTAGCATTTGTGGCCTCGTTTACTTATTTAAGGTCACCTACTTTATTGTCCTATCAAACCGACATGGTGTAGAGTGGAGATTACTGTCATTTTTAGGCGCTACACCCACTGGTGCTCCGAGCAAGAATACCAGTTGAGTTTGTTTACCAAGAAACCTTTGGAGGCAACTCTGCCGAGCATCACCTGAAAATTGTACGTAACTATCTTCAAGAGGTTAATGGCCTTGGTAATCGTACATCGTGCGCCGAAAAGTGCACATAGGCCTGTCGATCACTTATCGGTGCAAAAAAGTAGGTTTTCCAGATTCCAACTGATTTCTAATCATATGCCTTGCTTAAGCCTTTCACACACCTGGCTCTACCCTGTGGGGTTAATCTATGCAGTCGTTTAACTTACGTCCTTGTACCATAATACTACAGAGTTTGGTGCGAATTATTCCAATAGTGATGGATCTTAAAATGAGATATTTAAGTAGACAGCGTGGGTTAGTCTTTCTCCACACGTGTCACTTGGACTTTCCTTTCCGAGATCTTCCGCATCTTTGCATACTTTCCAGTAATTCCTACCGAGGTTGAAACCGCGCATGGAGCCTGCTCATGCCACTGACATACCAGCGGTTAAACCACTAAGCGAAGGTATGAGGTTCAGTTGCATAAGCACGCCACAGGTCAGTCACCGTCAGCAGCTCAGTTGCCAAAACACCCGTCCGGCAGGCGAGAATTCGGTGGTTCGGGTCCACCTCCAAACCTTTCTTTTCGGTCTTGTGCCCTCAAAACCATGAAGTCGCACAAATGTATCGCACACGAGCCTATGTTCAGCTACGTTCAGCTCAACGTGTTCTGACAAATCGCAGAATTCCATTCAAGGAGCATATGAGATGTCAACATGTATTTGTCACTTGTGTTCCAGTTCGACTGCACCGCACATTGAACTTCACTTGCGCGCTGTTGGGCAGTGCACTTGAGTGCGCACAGCCACCTGGGTTGAGGCAGTGAACTGCAGTTTATGGGTGCAGGCTTTCTGGTACGCGACCCTCCAATGTTTCATCCCAGTGGTCATAGCTTTTCTTGCAGATAGGTTGTCAGTCTTCGACAACTCCACTCATTTGCTTACGGATTTGGTTTTCACGGAAGATACCTGAGTCTCTCATTTATGATGTTCTTTATTAGTAGCACCAAGTGAAACATGAGATGGCCTGATGCATCACATTCATAAACGAGGGGTTCGACTGTGATTAGCTAAGTCTCCTGTACAAACCAAATTGGAATTCCAATGAGTGTATTATCGAATTTCGTGTAATTTAGGTTCAAGTGCAACATAAGTTTGATGGAAACTCGGCGACTGCGCCTACTCGATGAGTCCCAAGAAGGGCGAAACCAGTCGTGGAATGTTGAAGGGTTTTCATTCCTCCTCTGGGTGGTTTCGTTACGTCTATACAAGGATATCGTCCAGTTTGATGAAGGTTTTTTCTATGGTGGTTATTCTTCGCTTCTTGAGTTTAATTTATAGCAGCCCCAACAATTTTTATGGTATCTTTTTTACGTCCCCGTCTTATCCATGTGAAAAACTACGTGATTAATGCCACTGTATTTCTAGTGGTAATAGGACTTTGGAACAGATGACTTTTGAGATACAGCTTTTTCCGTTTCTTTGTACTTCATTAGCCACCATACCAACTCCATTGTCACATTTATTGCCCGCACAAACTTAAAGAGTTTTCTTCGGTGGAATATTCCGGTCGTATATTATGAAACTTACACACAACCAGGACACGCTGGACATTACTGAGTAGTCACTAGTCCCGCAACTACATCCCGCTAATGAAAAAATCGTCCAGCGGGTTCCAGGCACTGCCTGACAGGGAAGTCCTGACAGGCGGGTCAATCGATCGACACGGCTAGAACATTCGCTAGGTGCTCGTTCGTACCGCCGGGCCGACCAATCAAATTTCTCAAGCATGGAAACGTTCGCCTGTTTAGATGTGATAATGCAGGTGCGTCCAGCATGCGCTGGTGCGGTAGTGGTAACGTGCTCGCACCATAAACGTTCGGAGTTCAAACCCTAGCGGGGCTGCAGCTATGCACTGCTGATGGGAGGGAACTCGATTCCAGCGCTTCCTTCCTTTGGTGTGGAGTGATGAGTATGTTTCGCGACAGGAGATGGATTTTTCGAACGAGGATGATATAGATGCGAATTCTGCAAATATCACAACCCTCTACAAATAAAATAACAATAATAATCACTCAGCCTTGGCACTCTCTCGGTGAATGGCTACTGTGCAAATCGAGGAAAGCACGAGGTTTGATGCATACAATAGAGTAGCATAACTCAGTTCACAAGGCCTGGAGGACGAATATTGACCGGTGTGCTACATTTTGCCTGGCATTATCAGTGAACGCAGTCTTGAACTTTATCTACACCTAACCTGGTGAAAGACCTGAATGCGTACCTGTTTGGTGTGAACTTTTAGCGCGCCTCTAAAAAAGAGGATACTGTGTTATGCTATCAATTGTGAATACTATCCTTCAAAGATATATACTGTCTGTCTATCTTCCCGGTACTTGGTGGACGGTTTTTGAGCGTTATTATTGAGGCTCTGACCCACAGCTCTTCAGCTGCGTGGAACTCTTCATCGCAATAGCAGAGAGTCTCTCAAAACCATACGGGAAACGCTCTTGCTCTGGAAACGGTTGTTTTTATAACTTTTTCGAAGTTGTATTACTATTTGTCTCTCAAAGAATGTGAGACATTTGCGTCATCGAATGAACCAGTGGAACTTAACAGATGTATCTTGCGAACTCAATATGGGGTGGGAAGCTTGAACAGGTGATTTCGCCTTATACATCAACCAGCGCCACCCGTGCAGTCCGTTAAGCCCGTATATCTCCTCTCGTACCGGTAACCATTATTGCTTAACATCATAGCTTTCAAATTTTGAAATGAAAAGTAAGTTTGATGTATACATGAACTGGTTTGGATAAAACTCATGAACTACTCATGAACTCCTCGACTCTACCTGACTTGGGCAACTTGGCATTATCCTAACCCTCGTGGCATCGAGTAGTATGACAGCTATGCATCGGAAGGGTGTTACAGCTGAGCGATTGTTTTTACTATGGTTGGCGCCAGCTCTTGGATATCGGAAACAGTTTTTATGCGCTAGTAAGTCTGTGATTCAAATGTACGATTGTTTTGCACGCAGTTCAGCTAATTGATGTGGGCCATGCCTCAGTATACACATCGTAAATTTCGTGAAAAACACCGACTTTGGAGGGTAATACTGATCACTGATTTAGACAACCATTCTATTTGTTCACCGAATTCCCGGTAAATCTGTTCTACGAAAACATCATGATCCAGCGTGTTCACGTCAACCCCTGCAGAACCGTCTCTCTCTCCAAATGTTTTGGTTCATGCTTTACACGAATGGAAACTCCAGATATGTGGAGCGATCAATCGACAACCTCGTCAATATCCGTATCTCCGGTCGAGCGTGTTCGACCGTTTAGACGTGCTGATTCAGGTGCGTCCGTTGAGGGCTTGCGGAGTAGTGACACTAGGTTCACCGTGTTTATCGGGGTGCCAACCACGGTACGGAAAAGTATATGCACTGTTGACAAAAAAAGGGGCGAAACTCGAGTATACTGATTCCTTGCCGTGGTGGAGACTAACCACACTATTCGTATCGGGACACGGAAAGGACGGCAGTAGTGCGCATACGACGTCCACTAATCCTACATGAATGCATAAGAACTAAAAGCAATCTCAGTTTTTGACTGTTTCTTCGGTTCCCGTTAACCTGTTTGATTTCCCGTGCCCAGTTACTAATTTTTCAGTGTTGGTCCCACTGATTACTGTTATCGGAAAAACGGAGCTGCACTTATAGCACTTACAGCTCACAGCACTTTCGATCGGTAATCAAAAATTCTCTCACGAAATTAAGTTTACCTAACCACGTTTTGAACGATCGACCTCCCATTGAATAGACTTGAACCTTGCGAAAGGCTTGTGCATGCTTCCTTTCCGCGACAATTTTTTGCGTGATCTGTTGTAGTCTAATCTGCATAACAGATCGCGCAACTTTTTTCAAAGTGTGGTCCATGTGGAGTTTTCTTTCTTAGGGTCTTTTGGTCACTTGGAATTAACGTTATCTTCTGACTGACATTTGCTTCGCACAACCTGATTTTCGCTCCTCTCCGAAACCGTATAAGAAGTGGCGATCACAAATCTTCGTTGGGGCTTTTGGGTCGAACACACACACACACACACATCTGAAGATCACATAAAACGATTCCTCGCCTTGTGGTGAAAATCAGATGTTGGATTCAGTCACTGTAAACACTGGCGACACCCAACGGAAACAACAGCGTATCCGTTAACTTATATGCATCAGTTATTTGGATATAAGCAATCATTGCCTGCTTCTGAATTCAATTTTAAAGCCACAGGAAGATGTGGCCATCTATCTGCTGACCAACACAATCGCGGATTTAGTTTTCGAGAACCCGCTTCATCGTCTCAATATCTTATTATCACATGCAGTTTCCAAGACCAACATTGAACATCATTTCTGTTGTTCGATCACCTCAAGGCTTGGCACACCTTTTTACAATCCACAGGAACGGTGCTGTTCCTTTTTACGGGTTTGCCCGTGTGTTTCACTTTGAAATATCTGCCGGATAAGCAATAAGTCCCGTCCCCTCCCCGTTTCTTTATCATCTCAAGGTTTTATTTAAGTACGAACTCATGTTCCAAACTAGCGCTCCTCCTGCTGATGACCTCGACAGTTAGTTTTTCGCGCGCATTCGCCTCTCACGATTTGGGACCTGGAGAAATCCAACCGGGGGAAACTTTTCGCTTCTAATCTCAGTTTTTCTCAGCGCGACTGAGTGTGGCAACTGAATTACAAAAGTTGGTATAGTACTTGGACCGAAATGACCAAAAACGCATTGCCAAGTAAACGCGTGCCACTTCGTGCCACCATTGGAACAGTCGACATCTTATGTGTAACTCTCATTAGTCAGGTTCGAGTTTGGTTTGTGTTTAGGGTCAGGAAGCTACGTGCGCATGCTCGTTTTTTTGCTGTTGCTCAGTGCTGTTCAAAGGCCACAGCTGCTGGCCATCAATTCGGTTGACACTGTTTGTTTAGAATGAATGACTGGAACTACTGCATAGCAACGCTGTGCATATCGTGATAGGTTGCCATTGCGTACTTTGACTTGCTTTACCCTTCCCCAAATACCGTACCAATCGACGTGAAACGCACAATGCTCAATCTATTTGATTACATTCGTGCTGAGTTCTGTACGGGTTATCCCAAAGTGGATGAAAATAGCCTCATTCGATATCCATTTTATATATCTGACTGCGCGACAGCTTTCATTGCATGGTCTGGTTCATAGAGAACAATGGATTGAAATCATATGCTAGTGCTCTCCAGTTTGGTTTGTCGGGAACAACCATGTCTTTTCCACGCGTCAATAATTCGTCGAAATTTATTCATTCAGATTTATGTCACAGTGAACACCATGAATAGTGTCCCATGTATCGCCTGACCTGTGATTTGTGGTGACAGATCCACAATTCCTTATTTTTTCTTTCATCACCGTTTCAGGGGAACTTCAACGAAAGTTGGGTCTGAAGGTGCTCAATCTCGGCGGGAATTCTGTCATCGGGTAAGTTTCAGTTGTAAGATCCTGAATCTTATTCCATTTTGGTTCAACTCCCCGGATTCTCAACTAGTCACTGAATCATATCCTATTTTGTCTGGCTTTAACGTCAGTGATTTCCCTAACTTTATCCATTGCTGCATTCATCTTAGGTTACCCACCAAAAGAAACCACTGCGGCTGAAGGAGATTTTGGTCCCTGTTGAGGTTGGATTGTATAATATACCACAACTGACGAAGACTCTTCAGGGAGATAACCTTCTTTCTTTAAGGTCTCTCAAGGAGGGGTTCCACCTTTGCTATCCATCTGAGGCAAGTAACGCTCTTCTGCGTCGCTTTCCGCTGTTTACTCGGATCAGCTATATCAGATTCAGAAATGTTCATCGCCTCATAACATCATTTTTGAACAGCTTTTCCAAGTGATGTGAACGAGTTCAGCAGAGTAGGAAGTAGATTGTGGCAGTGCATCTTTGCAATTTAGAAGCCAAATTTTCTATTTGCCAGTAACTACCTCTATTTCGGTATATCTCCCCCCTACAGATCCACTCTGTCGGTCTATTTTTTGATAGAAGTTAATCGGTACATACTTGTCCGGCAGTGTTTTGGCTGTTTTAGTGTTTATAGACATATCCATCCTTCTGGGCTTTCACAGCTTAAATGGTAGTATGCCATTCAGACCTCTAATTTGATCGTTTATTGGTCGCTACTCTCTTGGCAGATACCAACTTCACTTTGATTTGGAGGGGGAAACTGGAGTTGTGGTTCGTGGTATTGGTACAGCTGTTCGTTTGCGCAAACAGACAGCACCACGGTCACCCCCGAGCAGTCCGGTTGGTGCACCACCGTGAGTTGGTCGGTTTCTCCTCTTCTATTAGGATTTCATTGCGTCTATTTAGTCTTTTGCATAGGGTTTAACCAAATGACTGTCAGATCTCAGCCGGCTTCTACGGAGCCTATTTCAATGTTTTCGAAGGGCATCAATACGTCACAGTCTTCGGTAAATGCTCTTTCCTGGTTCTCTAATGCTGTTTTGTTTCGGAAACTCAAATACCGATGAGGTCCTTGTCAGATGGTCATGGCGGCGGATTTCGGACTGGGACGATACTCTTGCCATGGCTGTGCGTGTTGCTTCAGTTATTCTGAGACTAAAGCCTGTTTGCATCGATGCAAGAGCGAGCCTTCTCCACAGGATTGGACGAGAGTGATTGCCACCGACAGGTCGTAGTTTCACCTGCTGAGTTTTTGGGTTTGACCGGCTGGTTTCAGACAAATGCAGATAAAATCTTGGGGTCGCCGAATTTTCTTGATATTCGGTACTTGTTCTTAGGGACTGTTCACGAAGCTAAGTGGTAATAAATCACTAACTCCGCCATCTCTGGTAAAAATCTTCAATCCTAGTCGCCTGTAAGCCAGATTACCAGTCAGTTTTACAGTTAGCCAAATACGATCATGATAATTCTGAATGGGTTGGAAACTGCCCGTTCAAAAAGGAATAATATTGACAAATCTCACGTGCCTTCTCAATTGAGGTCACAATGAATCGGAATCAGCCTTTCTATCATCACACTTTTCAGTGCGCTCTTTCACTTGCAGACCACAGATCTTATCAATGGAACCAACATTTTTGGGTGAAATTCAGTTTTTCTGGTCCTTCTTACATGATTTTAAAGGTATTTGAAATACCACTTCAAAAATAAATGATAGTCAAAAGCAACCGTCGTGGTGTTATTGGCTGCTTGGTCCGAGCGTATCGATCGTTCACACAGGTCGACAACATTCAGTTATCTGAACTGCATTGGACGATTCGTTTGCTGTTTTTGTTTACTTCAGCTGTGTGCATTTCCTGACACTCGTTCAGTCGTATTCCACCTTATTCGTTTCGTTGTGTGTTGGCGACTTGCAATGTGAACATCAAAAGCCCGGTGCCATCCACATCGGGATTCATGTTTCGTTAGCACTACAATGATCGTGTCAAACATTCTGAGACCTTATTAATTAGCCACTTTTTCGCATTTAAAAACTCAAGCATCCTTCTACTTCACTGAAACACCATGTCCACATGCATATACCGAACAAGATTTCGATGCACAGGGGGGAGAGTCTCGAATTTCCCTCAGTAGTTCATCTTCATAGAGGCATTACCACATGCTTGGTAAAACCAACCAACCGGTCAAAACTCAGCTTATGTAAACAGTACATACCAATAGTTGCTCTTGCCGTGCGAATTCTTCGTGAGTGACCAATGTAATCGATTCATAATGATAACATTGTTCAGCTGCACTGTCTGTCTTGGAAGCGACCGCTTAGTAAATAGGTCATTGGCGCCTGACCTCTGAAGTACCTCATAAGCCCTAAAACCAACGGTAAATCGTCTCAAACAAGTTCGGTAAACAATTATTGGGTTTATCTTTTCCTGAACTTTTTGTAAACTGATGATTTCTCAATCGGTTGCAAACATTTTACAGTTGCTGGATTTATTTGCCAAACTTTGCTGCAACAATTGTTCTTTCCAAGTGGCTCAAAGCTGAATCGTTTCACTGTTGCTTGCGTGGTTGCTTGGGGTTAGGAGACGGCTTCACTCAGCTTTCCATCGTACCACTTCTGGTTCTTTCTAGCCTTTTCGATACTGAAATATTGATACTTGCGCATTTATTCACTGAGTTTACGGCGAATCTATCTGGTGTAGCTATTCATCCGAACAGTTGTTTACTTGTTCAGACAAACTGGCTATGGGTGGATAGTCCCATCGTTTTATCTAAACGGTCCTGGGTTCCCGTTAACCACTTGAAATTTAACAAATCGTGAACTCGGAGTCTTATCGGCCACCTATGTGTCACGTTACGACATCTCAGTCAGACGAGTCATTTGGTCCTTACTGAGTTGAACGTTTGCTTGACAGCCTTGGGCTGCTAAAAGGCACCCGTTTAATGGGTGTCAACAACAAGCAGTCTCGCGTAGCTGAGCTACCCAGGGTCTAAAAATATTTTACCACAAACCTGCAGTAAACTGCCAAACCTATAGGTTTACAACTGCTAAGTATTTCGTGAGAATCAGTGGCGGTGTAGGTTGAACCATCTATTCGGCAGTAGTCCGACTATGTTGACGGCTGGTGAGACGTTTCTCTCTTTTCTCCCATATTCTCCTGTTACTCTTTCGCATTCATCGCTTGCATTCACTTCTTATGTTTGTGACCATGCTCTTCAAAAATAAATGATAGTCAAAAGCAACCGTCGTGGTGTTATTGGCTGCTTGGTCCGAGCGTATCGATCGTTCACACAGGTCGACAACATTCAGTTATCTGAACTGCATTGGACGATTCGTTTGCTGTTTTTGTTTACTTCAGCTGTGTGCATTTCCTGACACTCGTTCAGTCGTATTCCACCTTATTCGTTTCGTTGTGTGTTGGCGACTTGCAATGTGAACATCAAAAGCCCGGTGCCATCCACATCGGGATTCATGTTTCGTTAGCACTACAATGATCGTGTCAAACATTCTGAGACCTTATTAATTAGCCACTTTTTCGCATTTAAAAACTCAAGCATCCTTCTACTTCACTGAAACACCATGTCCACATGCATATACCGAACAAGATTTCGATGCACAGGGGGGAGAGTCTCGAATTTCCCTCAGTAGTTCATCTTCATAGAGGCATTACCACATGCTTGGTAAAACCAACCAACCGGTCAAAACTCAGCTTATGTAAACAGTACATACCAATAGTTGCTCTTGCCGTACGAATTCTTCGTGAGTGACCAATGTAATCGATTCATAATGATAACATTGTTCAGCTGCATGTCTTGTCTTGGAAGCGACCGCTTAGTAAATAGGTCATTGGCGCCTGACCTCTGAAGTACCTCATAAGCCCTAAAACCAACGGTAACTCAAACAAGTTCATAATGATAACATTGTTCAGCTGCACTGTCTGTCTTGGAAGCGACCGCTTAGTAAATAGGTCATTGGCGCCTGACCTCTGAAGTACCTCATAAGCCCTAAAACCAACGGTAAATCGTCTCAAACAAGTTCGGTAAACAATTGTTGGCTTTATGTTTTCCTGAACCTTTTGTAAACTGATGATTTCTCAATCGGTTGCAAACATTTTACAGTTGCTGGATTTATTTGCCAAACTTTGCTGCAACAATTGTTCTTTCCAAGTGGCTCAAAGCTGAATCGTTTCACTGTTGCTTGCGTGGTTGCTTGGGGTTAGGAGACGGCTTCACTCAGCTTTCCATCGTACCACTTCTGGTTCTTTCTAGCCTTTTCGATACTGAAATATTGATACTTGCGCATTTATTCACTAAGTTTACGGCGAATCTATCTGGTGTAGCTATTCATCCGAACAGTTGTTTACTTGTTCAGACAAACTGGCTATGGGTGGATAGTCCCATCGTTTTATCTAAACGGTCCTGGGTTCCCGTTAACCACTTGAAATTTAACAAATCGTGAACTCGGAGTCTTATCGGCCACCTATGTGTCACGTTACGACATCTCAGTCAGACGAGTCATTTGGTCCTTACTGAGTTGAACGTTTGCTTGACAGCCTTGGGCTGCTAAAAGGCACCCGTTTAATGGGTGTCAACAACAAGCAGTCTCGCGTAGCTGAGCTACCCAGGGTCTAAAAATATTTTACCACAAACCTGCAGTAAACTGCCAAACCTATAGGTTTACAACTGCTAAGTATTTCGTGAGAATCAGTGGCGGTGTAGGTTGAACCATCTATTCGGCAGTAGTCCGACTATGTTGACGGCTGGTTAGATAAACGGTGGCACCTATTTAGATTCGTCATGTGTGGGAATTCGGCGCCGGATACCCGATCCTGAATGTGTTCACTATTCATTCTATAGGTCACTCCAAACGTCATACTCCAATCGTCATACTTGCACGTCTGAATTGCTTGACTTAATGATTATATTCTTTTTTGGTTAGTCAACATTTCTTTCGGTAGAATCTGACATGACTGCACCTCACCTCCTTTCCTTAAACCTGAATCTTTCTAAATACTGATGTTGATAGTTCCCTTATGCTGCTCCTAAAAGTTACATTTTTCCAACGAAAGTTTCACTGCTATCGGGTGACATTCCTCTAAACTATAAGTCGCAGCTGCCAGAGTTCCTTGGCACCATGAGTCCCATGCTTAAAATCCCTCCATGGGGAACTCTGGCACTTTTTCAATTAAGCAGCTTTGCTGAATCGTTGGATCGAGTGCTCTTAATCTAACTATTGCCACACTGGAGGCACATAATGTGGTTTCACGCTATGATCTGGGACCTGCAATTACGTCTTTGCTTTGTTACTCCCATCTCCCCTGGTGAAGACTATCTTGTGCAACTTAGTGGTACCAGTGAGAAAGAAGTTAACGGTTGCTTTTAGTTCCTCGATATTGCTTTCAAACGGAAAAGTGACGGAACGCTAGAAAGGAGAACCTAAGAAAAGTCTGCACGGCACGCTAAATTCAATAACTTTGCCGACATGGTCCACAGGCAGTGTGTTGTTCCCGGTTGAGTAGATAATTTCAGAAAGATGTTTACTTGTCACAGTCGATGACAGATTGAAAGAATAACGTTGGGCATATGTATCCACTGGATGAAGCCTCCAAACAACTAGACCTGCTTTTCGTTGTTTTCTCTTGCGATTTACTGTCGATTTCCGCTATTTTTCAATCTGGGTGAACAAGCACAACTTGCTTTTAAATGAGAGCATTTATTTCCACTGGAATGAATAATCTGGGGAATGGCTAGTAACAATTGGCAGGTCAGTAACAATCAATAAATATTTGGCTTTTAATCAGGAAACTACTTTTGTGCGAGTGGGAAATTGTGCATCACCGATATTGACGCTTCTGAAATTCCGCTGTACTTGGGTTTGAACGCCTGGAATGGACAGATACGTTAGGCTGACAAGATCATTTACAACTGCATATTTACCGACTGAGTTTGTCGGTTGATGGAGTTTCCATTCGACTAGTCTAATTTCACAGTCCGATTACGGCCACATGTGCCTACCCAATGTGATTGCTTATAGAAGCTTTATTTTGGTTCACCATCCATGAGTCTCGGCTGTCTGAATCAGCTTCCAAAATCCTCATAACCACCATGACTTTTAGTTTCTATGCTTCTGGGTCACACTCAATTTTCCAGGAAAACGGCCATCCACCATCTACAAACAACGGGACGCACGCTGAGCTAGGCAACCTGCCGCCAAGATCCCCTAGTAGGGTGATGCCAGAACGTTATTTCATGTCTACACATAATGCACCACTCATAAGGTTGCGGAAAATTCGTCGACAGCCCACGACCGGTTTCGCCCTTCTTGGGGCTCATCAGGTAGTGCAGTTATCGAGTTTCCGTCAACCTTATGTTCTATTTTAAACCAAATTGCACGAAATTAGCGAAATACACTCATCTGCATTACGTATAGGTCCGAAGTTACCCATTTCGTTGAGTCCCATTTTCCCACACGTACCATGTAAACCAAGCAATCAGTACTGAGTACATCTCTTTATTATCATCAACTGTGAACTGTGTAGTTGGTTCTAGACGTGAGAGTTTCGTTTACTGGTAATGTGAAAGATAAGAATGGCTAGTGCCAATGTGCTTTTGCTATTTGTTGCAAGACCGACTGAGAAAACTATACACTGACTGGGTCATACTTGCCACTGTTTCTGGCCACTGATGTGTCTCGTTCTAGGTTTCCGGTCATGGAGACAGGAATAATTAGGACAGTTGACCTTTCTGTTTATGGATGCTCGTAGTTTGCTTCCAGATCTTAAACTGACTTCTTGACCGTTTCGACCCTACTCTTGATTGTCTGAATTCAAACTAATAGCACGTGGCCAAACAAGCTTCATCGGTGGATTATCGTCGACACTAATCCACATGTTTGCAATATCACACAGTTCGCTTTGCTTCGCTGTGACACTTTCCTGTGTGCTTTTCCGAAATGACGCAACCTTTAGAACGGTACTCGGTGAATCGCCATTTTTCAACTTAGGTTGCAACTTACGCCTATAGACCTGAGGGGAAAAAGGGCCCAACCAATAGCATTCAGTACAACTTACGCCTATAGACCTGAGGGGAAAAAGAGCCCAAACAATACGCATTCAGTAAAGATTATGTCCAACGTCGAAGCCGTGATCATTTCGGTTGCCATGTGCGAATGTCCTCGATCAGTTTATTTTGAAAGATAAGGTCAAATGAGACAATGTCCACTAGTCAGTTATGTGCATATTGAATGGGTGCTAACATGAGGTCCAAAACAAATCAATAAATCGACAATAAACACTTTCGAAGTCAATCGTGGACCAGATATTATATGGTTTCTACCTCGAAAACCTCTCTGTCGCTACTTTATCTTCATGCTAACTGTAAACTGAGCTCCCTGTTTGATAGTACGTCCACGAAAATATAGCTTCGTTCAGTATTTGGAAAAATCAGTAGAAATGTTCCCTACCTGCTGTGACAAAGTAGCAGGGCTAAGGTTGCCTCATACTCACTCATATAAAATATTTCCGCGACCAGGAAGTATCAACAGCAGAACTTCGTTTTCGAATACTTGCAGCCAACCAGCAGTTTTGGACCTTAAATAACAAATACAGATCAGAGTAGTTCTGTCACCATTGGTTCCGTGGAATAGCTCATTTGATGTAATAATGCCGTGATTTGCGAAATTCGGTGATCGGGCTGGAGGTAGGTTAGGTTATCTGACGCATGCGAATCTGTGTTGGTTTGATAGTGGCTGTGAGGGAAGCAGGGAGGCTAATATACAGGAGCATCGTGGCAGCACTTGTGCTCACCATTGAAATTAATGCCATAGCTCTATTGACCCATAAGAGTTTGGCGCTAGCCACCAATTTCACAAGAAAATTCTCTTACGGGAAACCTCAGTTGTGCGACCATTTGCATTTTTTTTAGGTTTTTCTGTGATGATGATCAGCCTCCTTCCTTCCCAGGATGTTGTTCCAATGGCTGTCGACGGAACATGTCATTCCTATTGTAATTACGGGCGCAACCACACACGTAATCTTGAAACCACTTGTACCTGTCGTTTATTGCATCACGTTCTGTCCATTCGTGTGAGATGCAATTCCCACCTGACACGTGTTTTTGAAGCCCTTTCATGAGGAGGTAAATAACAGAGAAGACCAATGTTGGGGTTTTGAGCCTTCCAGCCGGTAGTTTCGTTCCTTACATGCTCAGGTACCCGCAGCTTTACAGCTTTTTGGAAATGTTAATATTGGCAGTCAGTGCAAACCCTTTTAGCTGAGTGAATGAACCGAAACGTCGGAATCGATTTTCGTAAACTCACGTACCCTTTGACCTTTCATGAAGGTGTTCACGCGACACTCCTTGCTTTGGACTAGAGACGCAGCAAGACTTGGCGACAAACCAAAATCAGTGGCATTCGTTTTGTTGGCTTTTATCTTTACTGTCTGAGTGATTCCTTGAGGGGATATTAGATGTGCACCACAGCACCTCTCTTTCTCTCTTCTTTTTCCTTTTTCCGTGAATCGAAACTTTCTTTAAACCATTTGATGTGGATCTGCTGCGCTCTCCTGATAAATCCAAAGTAGTTCAGTTGCTGTCCTTTATGTTGAGTCTGTCATTCCGATCAGTGGTGATTCCCGTCACTATCACCTTACTGTAGTGCTTTCGGTCATTAACAATGCTATTGGTAGTTTCCCGATCCATAGAAACGAACTCACCTTCCATGGGATGTAACCATATTTAAAAGACGTTTTCTCCTTGGAATGGCTCTAACTTTAAAGTTTTGATTTTTTTTATCATGTTCGTCCTTCACGTCTTTGAAATTGCTGTTTCTTATCTGTTCTGAATAGAAGGCTTCCCGGATCGATCGAGCTGAACACAGAATCTCCCGTAGGATCCGCTGATACTCCATCTGCCTTAGAACGCGAAGCACCGTTCAAAGGTGAGCACAGTATTTCAAATACTCGCCGATTGTGTAACTACTTCTTGTCAGTGCCTTGCGGCAACCTTGGGAGCGAAGGCGGTTTGATTTCACACAGCCATGTATCTATATTTAGTTGAGATTTTGTCTCGTAAGTGAAGGCAGTCTATGCCGAAACGCCGAAAACCACTGCACAACCGCTTCATCCCCAATGAGAACCACTAGCAGTGGGCATCTCATGGAAGAACTCCAACGAGTTTCGAGGCCGCAGCATCCCAGGTTTTATTTCAAACACTTACCCGTTTGGCGAAGATCGGCTGTTTAGCAGTGTATTCAACTCGCAGTAATGCAGGATTAAATCGCACTAAACATTTAATCACAGAATCCGCATCAAATGGGTCACTTCTGAAAACTCGTCACTCGATGAGTCAGTACATAATACGACCCAAGCAATCCACCCTGCATTGCTTGCAAAGGTGACTTCTGGTCTAACGTTACGTATTTTGTCTACAATCAATTCAGTAGTAAATGTTTAGACTGAAGGGAATCGTTCGCATCTGAGGATTTCTCTCTACCCCATTTTGATCCTATACTAGTAATGGTTAGTTCAGCAGACGGAATTCTGCCCGATACATCTCGAATTCTCTGCAATAGGTCAGTTGTTTTAGTTTTTTACTTTGGTATTCGTGCCATTGTAGGTAAACAAGTAATTTCTGAAACAGCACTTCGTGTCCGGCCGATATCATTTTATTTCATCTTTTCAGCTACTATTGTGACATAAGTAGCTGTTAATGCCCGAATATTCTCTCCTTCCCATAGGATCTACAGGTAACCTCAGTCAGGCTATGGAACTTGGGGTGAGTACTCATGTATTTTCCACTCACTTGTCTAAACGGGTTACCTTAGTGGCAAATTCCAGCGGTTCACTTTGCACTCCTCGATATGGCTTGTTTTCTGTGTGAAGTTCACACCTCGACTTATTACACGTCCCCATCTTAGTGTGCCTTTCTAACCCTGGAATGTCACTTTGACCGTCCTGTCTGTCCGTTAAATATACCTTATTTTTTGTGTAGATGTATGAATGAAGTGGTCCCCGGGTGAACCTCCTTAAATATACCTTATTTTTTGTGTAGATGTATGAATGAAGTGGTCCCCGGCGTGAACCTCCTTTTAAGAGCGGATGTGTTTTATACTTGCCAAAATTTTTCTGTGTGCTCCCGAAACGTCCTGGGTTTGAATTTGTTTTTCACTATGAATTTTTTTTGGATCGTTCGTTTTATTTTCTCTGTCTATATAACCCTCACACATGGCTCTTTTGTGAGGTTTTTCATAGTGAACTAATGCGGGCGCACCATGTAGCGTGAGCTAAGAGCCATTAAATCGCTATATTGGTGAAAAAGTAGACGACAAGTTAAGGGTCTTGAAAACAGCTAGTTCAATGTGGTATGTTGTCAGAACAGGCGTGGCTGTTTGAGACTTCATGGCGTTACAGTGGTCTGAAGGTTTTTCACTCATGTTATGCGTAAGGGTGAGTCAAATAGTCACGTGATTACCATGACAAATAAAACAACTGATTATGATGGGATTGTATGATATGCTCGACCAATTAGATGCAAAGCTCCTATTGTGAAGTTTCAGGATAACAGTACCCTTATCCTGTGGTGAGCATCTATTGGGATTGTCCATTATTGTCCGCTGCTCTCCATTATGTTTGCTTCGAGTAGGCAGATCAATGAGTGATTATATTGAGGTTTTCCTCAAGCGCTGTGAAAACTATGTGTGAGCCTTGAGTCCTAGATGGCTCAGTGATTAAAGCGCGAATTTACTGACAATAAGATTCAACCCAACCTCTGCATCTCGACTCCTATAGTCTAGGCTTGGAAAACCTGGCTGTGTCTCAATCCTCATTCCACCTTCGGATGGTGTGGCAGCTAGTCGCCCGAAGGGTGTTACGGCTGAACGATTATTACGTATTATACACTGTATAAGCCTGTCCCTTGTTTGGTCCCCAACCCATAGCGCATCAGGTCCTTGCTTATTTCCCCCATGACCAAATACCCGTCCAGGAAACTACCTCCGGTCCACCCGGCCATACAGTAAACAATCAAAAGAAATGAAATCTTAACTATCGTCAATCATACTAAGACGGAATCTCTTGACATCCACAGTCTGTGTCTCAGGACACCTACAGGGCACGCGGGATAATTGGAGGCAGACTGAGAAACCTTTTCCACAAAGACTAGCATTGTTGAAGCGCTTATCCACTTACAAAATTATGGAGGCTTATCTCTTCTTGAGAAAGGTCAAGTATAGTATGGGCTTATTGGCTTCCAACCTTTGTTGGAAGCTGACAATCATGCCCAAAAACAATAGCTCAAAAACATGAGAAGAAATCCCTCTGAATTGTTCTAAAAACCCGATTCACTAAACTATTTCTCTTTGTCACACACACACACACAATTTTGTTCCCTAAATTTGGGAACCTCAAATCTGTCAAATCCTTCTTGATAGGCGGCGAAGCACAGTGTGGTCGTACGTCGCTAACAGGACGAATACGGTACCACAAGCTTTGTAGAACCAAACTGAAATCTTACCGTAGCCGGAACATTTACAATTCGCTTTTTTCAGTCGCGCTCAGAAATTGAACTGCAAATAACATGAAGTAGTATTCCATGTCTTTCGCTATCGCAACTGATAAGGTGTTGTCTGCGGAGAACTCTCGTCATCATACTAAGACGGAATCTCTTGACATCCACAGTCTGTGTCTCAGGACACCTACAGGGCACGCGGGATAATTGGAGGCAGACTGAGAAACCTTTTCCACAAAGACTAGCATTGTTGAAGCGCTTATCCACTTACAAAATTATGGAGGCTTATCTCTTCTTGAGAAATAGCTGGTCAAGTATGGGCTTATTGGCTTCCAACCTTTGTTGGAAGCTGACAATCATGCCCAAAAACAATAGCTCAAAAACATGAGAAGAAATCCCTCTGAATTGTTCTAAAAACCCGATTCACTAAACTATTTCTCTTTGTCACACACACACACAATTTTGTTCCCTAAATTTGGGAACCTCAAATCTGTCAAATCCTTCTTGATAGGCGGCGAAGCACAGTGTGGTCGTACGTCGCTAACAGGACGAATACGGTACCACAAGCTTTGTAGAACCAAACTGAAATCTTACCGTAGCCGGAACATTTACAATTCGCTTTTTTCAGTCGCGCTCAGAAATTGAACTGCAAATAACATGAAGTAGTATTCCATGTCTTTCGCTATCGCAACTGATAAGGTGTTGTCTGCGGAGTGTGAACTCTCGTCAATTTGTAAAACACGATTTCTCTGATCCGAATTCGTTTTGAAAGTGGTCTGGCTGTTACATTTAAAGTCTCCTTCCCCACCGATTGGTGGCCAACCACGCGTCCCTTATGAAAACGCACTGCTAAATTTATCTTTATTTTCCCCAGAATGGGAGTTTGTTGTATGTCTTTCACAGGCTGACGAAGCAAGTAGCAACATAATAAACTTGAAATAGCAGTTAATTACTATCCTGGATTCTTTGTCAATCGATCTTTTCAGGAATTCCCCTTCCTAACCATCTCACAAATGCCTCCGGGTATGATTCGCCACTTTGGAAGCATTGTCGCCTCAAAATCGGTGAAGTTAATGGACAAGAACACTCCAGGTACTGGTTCTTTATCGTGTTTACACGGATGCAGCGCATCCAGCATGCTCGATCCATTGGCTTTCGGGTTGTCATTTGTGCTTGTTGATTTGTGCTGACACATTCCATGGTTTGAGTGTCGTGAATTTGATTATTGTCTCACGGATGCAGCGCATCCAGCATGCTCGATCCGAAGTCTCTGAAAGGAAGGCCATTCCATACAACATACATTTTAGGAGTGCCATTTTTCCCTTTTTTTCTGTTCCGAAAGCCGTCAAGTTTGGGATCTGATTGGAATATTTCAGCTGCTAATATAGCGGCTCCAATAAACTAGAGAATTCTGATCAATCAGTTGGGGAACAATAAATCCACTTTCCGATAATGAGTCTGCTGTTTTATAGACTACTTATTTTAGATAGACTGATAATGATGCAATCTATTCCCCGTGAGTCCTATATACGAACGTATGGTTCCACTCTAGAACGAAAAGTATCGTATCCGTGTTTAACTGACACATCCCTTCTGGCTGTTGGCTAGCGAAAACATAAAAGCAGCTGGTGGAAATCGGTTATTCACATCCATGACAGGTTTGGAGTTTTATTTGGGCCCTGGATGCTGCTGTCTCATCGGAGCAGGATTGAAAGATGTGACAATAAACGGCTTAAGTTTGTGAGGCACTCCAAAGCACCGTGAACTACTGAGAACTTTGTTGAACTAGCTGAACACATTCCGATTTGAATCAAGAACCCAATCGTCACTACTAGTTACGTGTTGAACTCTGTGGTAGCTCAGAATCCTGCTTCTGAGCAGCATCTAGGCAGAAGACCGTTCCACAAACAAACTGATGGAAGGCATTTGGGAATTTCAGGGGATGTTCATAGTTGTCCAGAAGCACCAGTTTGCAACGCCATATTCCGGGTTCGGGACCGCGATTTAGAGCGTTCGCAAATCGATGGATTGCCACACAGAAAAGCTCTCTAGAAGGCGGAATAATCCTGAGGCTGAAGGAGGTTCACAAACACTGTGTGCTTCAAGAACAAAACGTTGTAAAATGGGCTCTACAGGTGAACATAAACAGTGAAAACAAACCTACGAAAGCACAATTGTATTTTTTAAAAAGTTTGTATGTACGATCGTAGTTTATTCTAATACAAAACGAACTAGAATTCATGGAATGATGGGATGTACGTAAATGCAAAGAAAGGCGAAAATATGTGACGTAACTCCTGTGTGAAAAGGACATCATCCAGCTAGAGTTTCTCTTTTCCATGTCTAGTCCCGTGATTATCTTCTAACACCCAAGCGACTCGCTCCACTATCCCACTCTCTTTATTCTCCGCCTGCTGTGGCCTATCCGCTTATTCTGCTCGTCATCGTTGGCCTAATGCACAAGAACAGTAATATGAAGCATAGGGTTTCATTCCTGCGTAACCATTTCAGCTTATCTAATGAAATCCCTGTAGTGCCAACGAGACCTGAAAAACCCAGAGGTACCCACAACTCCCAACTACCTGGGGCAATATAGGTAGAAACTGGCTGCACGAACACTATTAACCTCATGCCGAAAGCATCCATACTTTCCGTTGTTTTCTTCGTACCCTAAGTTGCCTGCCTTTCAGCTTTCAGCACACTGAGGTTGGCAACATCTTTTTAATAGATGAGAACTTGGAATGCTTAGCACGTAACCGATCAACGAAAACGTGTTTTTCCTAGATGCATTTCCGAAGTGAAGTACACGCTACACTACCGGACACCATTAATATTCTGTATTTCCTATCCATCTGTTTACCATAGTTGTTTTCGCTGCCCAGTCTTTACTTGCTTTCTTGTCTAACAGGCTAGTTGCGCCAAGATATGACTAGCTGGTCAATGAAGATCCAAAATACAGCTAGAATATTATCGTTGTGAAACCAATATTCAAAGATGGGTAACTTGAGGTTGATTGCCTTCACACCACCTCCGTGTAATCAATAGAAGGGCGGAACAGAATGTCATGTTGGAAAGAACAAACCGTAAAATCTGCATTTCCGGATTTCCGCTTTTTTTAAAAAGTACTCTGGGGCAATAGGTTTGACTAGTAAGGTCGCTGTGGTATTTTCTAGCTTTACTAGGGTATGTTATCAAGTATCCCGCCAACTACATTTGTCGAAGCTATGTTCCTTTATAGTGAACCTTTGGAGGTTTTCACATTTGTTACATGTGACAGCCCATGGTGGATAATTAACCTCACTGGTTGATCAGGAAACGAACCACAAGTGGTCGATACTCGCCTTCGATGTAGAGCTTAGAAGCCCTCGATTTCCTGCTGATTGTTGGACGTACCCAAGCCTTTGCAGGCGTTACCAACTGTAGATGAGGTGAATGCTCGAATCTGCAAGGCTCGGGCCGCGTTTACTAACTTGAGGCACCTATGGCGTCAGAATGGTTTATCTCTGAATCTGAAGGGACGTGTGTATCAAGCTACAGTACGGGCTGTTTTGTTGTATGGCTGTGAGACTTGGCCTATTCGAGCAGCGGACCTGAGACGTCTTCAGGTGTTCGACAATCGTTTTCTGAGAACCATAGCTCGTGTGGGTTGGTGTCGGCGAATCCGTAACGAGGCAGTTAGAGAGCGTGTTTTCGGTTGTGTAACGGGTACTTCCATTGAAGAATGTGTCCAGCACCAGAAGCTGCGTTGGTTGGGTCATGTTTTACGCATGCCGAATCATCGTTTACCGAAAAGAGTACTATTTTCTATACCCAATTCGGAGTGGCGTAAACAGAGAGGTGGCCAACCCATGACCTGGCAGAGGAGTATGAAGGAGATCACGAAACGCTTGGGTGTCGTCGGTGCTACTCGCCTTCCAGGATGGGGACCGTGTGATCCTCACTGTGCCTGGTTGGATACACTACAATATATGGCTGCCAACCGATGTCAGTGGTGTTCTTGTTGTCAGTTTCTGTCCAGATTGCCTGAGTGAATTTCTGGAGGTGTAGGCACCTCGGAATGATTGTGTTAAGCTAGCACTAAGTCCCTCCCCCATCCACCTTTATTCTTTTCTTTACAATAAGGCTTTCAAATAAGTCATGGCTGTACGGCAGTGAAGCATTGGTGTTGAGCACTGATGTCATGCTGTCGTTGATGATGATGATGATGATGACATAGTTACTTTCGTCGGCCGCAATAGAAACGTACGCTTCTTTTAAATTGAATTTGTATTGCTGGCTTTCATCTATCACTATTAAATTCGCTTCAACTTCACGGGTGCATTTTTTATCGCGTCCCCTAGATACGTATTCGTATCTGTCATCGATATATGTCATCTGTCACTCCCACAGTCCCTCCCATCACAGAGGCAGCATGCAAAGATTCACTATATAGCGACGATAGTCAAAAGCTAGAAAAACCATTCGCTTTATTTTTTACTTTATTTGTACTCTACGTACCTCAATCCCGTCAGTTGTCTTGTGTCTTGTCTTTTCAAAGCCGTCAAGAAGTGTGGTTCTCTTGAACGAAACGGGACCTTAGCTTCGCACTGTTTTGTGTCGACTCCTGTTATGTCCACAGCCTAGCTACCGAATGTAAACTGGTGGACCAACAGACCTTCAAGTTTACAAACAAAGCTCCTTTGAAGATAGACCATTCGCGCAATCACTGGTTGCAGATCGAACACCCTGTCCTATCGACTTGGTTATGATTTATCCCGTGCTACCAGGGACCTGCCAAGCGTCGATGGGGCTAACAGATCATTAACCTCTTGATCTTTTCCCTATACAGCTTCTTGACATAGTGAGAAATTGTTGAAATTATACGTATCTATTCTACAACAGAACTAAGGGTCAGTATCTGTCGACTTATCATCCTACTCTTACATTCTTCTCACTTTCTCAGCTGAAATCCAGTTCCGTGATGCGTGGTGGCTGGAATTACGCACAGAAGTGGCACAACACATGTACAGCGTGTACTGTAACGCGGTCATCGGCTACCGGGAGGAGTGTGCGATATACGAAGATGTGTGTATTTTATCCAACTACGGCACTGCTGTTGTCCTCGATCTGCGGTCGCCGAGCCTCGGGCAACCTGTGCGAA